TGTCCCCTGAGGCCGGCGCGGCTACGCACATCATCTGGAATTCTTCTGCGCAAGAGATTCAATTTAGTTCATTCGGGGGAAGACCTCTACATAATACCCAGGTCTAAGTAACAGTGTCTGACCTGTCAGAGACTCTTTCAAGTAAAAATGATGTTTCTTGAAGAAAAGAAGAGTGCGGCTGGCGACTCAAACACCCTTGAGACGACCCTCAAGCGCTGGCCTCCTGTATCAGCCCACACAGTACTTTTTACCAGAGCACTCAGAGCACTGCGAGGAAAATTAACCCCTTTTACTGCTTCAGCAAGGAAGTCCTTACATGACACCGGCATTGCTTCGTTTCCCTGGAGTGCGTGGAGGTGATGGGACAGTCACTGCGGGCACCCACGCCCCCATCGCACTAAGGCACCGGCCCTCTTACCTCCGTGACTTTTGACCGTCAGTGCAAACGTCAGCCCAGGGGAGAGAGAAACTCTGTCTCAGTGTGACTGTAAGGATAGCTCTGCAGACCCCCAAAGGAGACTGAAGATCCCCCCAGAGGCCTGCAGCGTTCGTACTGGGGGGGAGACAAACTCAGCTTCCTCCTCCCCAAGGTGACCCTGGCTCCCCAACTCCCAGAAGGACCCAGGTCAACCTCCTGTGTCCAACCTGCCCCCCACCCCCGGCGGCTCCTGCTGACTCACCAGCTCTTTCAGTATCTGACGCCTTCCTGTCCTGGAACAATGGTCGGTCAGTACGTGGAACAGTGACCGTGAGACCCCAGTTCCTCCTCCCCAGGTCCGAAGTCAGGAAACCCCACTGTCCTTCCTGGTGTCTTTTTCTGAACTAACTGCCTCATATCTTAAAAATGCATTCACTGTGCTGCTTACTAATCCCTGAAGCATTCATTGAGCACCTAATGAGGTCCTTGGGCGACTTATCTTGGCCACCCGCTTCCTTAGAGCAGAGAGGGTGCACCCGGCCTCCCGGGCAAGCAGAAAATTAACCCTTCCCTCCGAGTCCCAAAAATCGTATTTGAAGCCAGAGTTTATTGCTGAGCGTATGTAAGCTGAGTTATTAATCACACTATTTCTCATTAAGGAATTTTCCAGGGTCAGATTTCCAACTGAAGATGCAAGGCAGTTGGCCCAAGTAGGGACTTCATTAAAAACCGAAGTGCAAATCAAAAGAATGCAGAGAGCTCAGTGGGAGAGAAACTGCCTACAGAAGCTGGACCAGCAGAGTTTTCCAAATTCACTCTCTCCCTTCGCTCTTTCTTTCACCCTCCTGGGCCCTGGTAGTTGTGGATGGAGAGGGGCCAGCTCAGGAGGAATCTCAATCATCTCTCTCTGGCCCTGAACAGAGAAGTAATTCCAGGGGAATCACAGAGAAAGGGCTGCCTGGTTAGAGAACTAAGGCTTGGCTGTGTGATTCTATCCATGAAGATACATTCATATTTTACAGTCAGAATACCTTCCATAAATATATATGGAAGTTTATGGAAGTGTGTATATATGTATGTGTATGTATGTGTATATATACACACATACATACACACACACATACATACATACATACTGTAGGGAACAGAATCACCAGCTAAGAGTTCATCAAACAGGAAAGGTGTATAATTATCTTCTGTAACAAGGAGTTTGGAAGGAGAGACTCTCAGGTGCGGTGCTGTGGTCCATCAGGGACCCAGCCTCTTCCTCTGCCCTTTCTCTGCCATCTTCTCCAGGTTGGCGATCAACCCTGGGGCTTACAGCTCTGTGCTTGATCTTCGAGGATCCCGACCACCCATAACTGTATTCAAGAGAGAAAGAAGGAAGGATCAGCTTCTCAGTCTACCTTTCAGTTAGGGAGCAAACACCTTTCACGCCTCCTCAGAAGCCCCCGTCGTGTGCCAGGTCCACCAGCCTGGGGCAAGTGGGAGGGGTGATACCAAGGTGGGAGTGCCCTTAGCTGCCTGAACACAGTGGGGTTTTCCGAGGTGGGGAGGGGCGTCGCCAAGGCTGTAGGA